TGTTAATTATAGAGAATTATGTATTACAGGGTAAAAAAAAAAAAAAAAAAAATCGAACTTATACCCCAGTGCAGAGCACTCATAATATTTATTAATATTACGGTAATAGAATTCGAAAAGAGCGAGATCGAAAAGGTGTAAAAAATAAACTTATGGCTATGCTGGTAAAGTTTCGTACGGGTATGATTTATTTTAGGTATACCAAAATGTCTTTTTATTTTATTGCAAATAGAGCTAAGTCTATAAAAGCCTAGCTTATATTTTAATGCGCTAACTTGTAAGCTATGCTCTTAACAGTAAAAAAAAAAAAAAGAATGGAATTTAGAAATTTAAAAAAAAAAAAAAAAACGTAAAAGTTGTTCACTAAATAATATACTAAAAACACATTTATATTAATATAATAAAAACATTTCTTATATAAAAAATTTGGAATCAGTGAAGGTCATAGAGCTATAAGCATTGATTTTAATTTTTAAAATAAATAAATAAATAAATAAATAAAATGATTTCTTCAGCCAGATAAAACAGAGGGCATTTGATATCAATTAATTTAAAATAAAGTATATATAATTTATTTAGTAGTATATACAATTTATTTAGTAAATCTGTATAAACTCTGTTTAAAAATCGTTGCCCACACTACATAGATTCTATGCTGTGCTACATCTCGATGCTGTATAGCTATACGATATACTATTTATAAACTAAAGTGGGCAATATATATAGATATATGTACATACGTGTATATATTATATATTTAGCTAGGGGGCACTGTCAACCGAACGGCTGTAACTGAGACGACAAGACCGAATCGCTTGGCATATACTGATGGAGTTTGTCGTACGCGATGCTGGGCAGTCGTACGCGCACACGGCTCGAGTCCGCGACAAGCTCAGCGCAGCTCAGCTCAGCTCAGTTATATCAATTTGAAGCCCAGCCGCACCCCTCAGAGGCCCCCGCCACCCCACAGTCTCACTGAGTGGCTCGTTCTCTCGCTGCTGCGCTCGCGCATTGCCGGCCCCATGCAAAGTTTGTTTGAAGGCGCGCGTCGCTGATACGTCCGACATATGTATGTATATGTATATACACAGAGACACCGCTACACACACACACATGCGCATACATATGCTCACTTTCGATGTATTTCATTTTTTCTTTCGTTTTCATTCGCTGCGCGATTTGAAAACGTTTAAATAACAAGCAACAACAACAACAACAACAACAACAGCTTCAACTGGCGGGCGGGTCTTCTGCGCGCACACACAAAACCCAACAAAACTTTACGAGCTTTTTATTATTTTTTTCTTCTGCTTCTTCTTTCGTTATGCTTTTGTTTTTGTTTTTGCTTTTCGCTTTGAGCCAATTATGTGCAGCAGCTGCCGTTAAGGGTGGGCGCGCTCGGGCAGCGAGAAGTGCTAAAGCTCTCTTAAACGTTGTCGTTGCTGCTTCTGCTGTTGTTGTTGTTGTTGCTGCTGGAGCTGTTGTTGCCGGCCATTGCTGTTGCTCTCGCTCGTGCTGCTGTTTCTCTCAATTTTGTTTTTCATTTTGCGCATAAATTTATCAAATTCCTCTTGTTTATTTGCATGCGCTGTCATTATTGTTGTTGTTATTGGCCATTTAGTAAAAGCCTTTAAACCATACACTAAACGTTTTTAAAAAGTGCTAGTATTGTTGCTATTGTTGTTGTTGCTGTTTGTCTGGCTAATTGTATTGAACATATCAATTTGAATGGCATCGCTTGTTTATGGGCATTGCGAGTCTCGTTTATGTTAATTTTCATCCACTGCTCGCGACGTATTTAAATATTCGTTTAAAAATATATATATTTCAGGAAATCTATAACTAAGCCTAGTTGAACATTATTTATAGTGACTCGACCCCGATCTTGAGCATTTTTAGCAAATAGAAAGGTTGAGAAATTCGCAGCTTGGAATGGAAACCGCTTGTACTGAAATTATTACAGACTCATAAAACTCACTCGAGATCTATGGGCAGTAGAAACATAAAGCGAAGGAATGAGCCACGTTAAAACACTTGGAGCAATTTAAGAAAAACTTAAGAATAATAAAAGTTGCAATAATAATGGCAATGAACATGTGCCTTTGAGCCTTAGAAAATTTTACAAG